TATGGTTGATGCTGATATGTATTCTGCTCAGGGTTTGATACTGGTAGATTTTGACTATGCCATGTAATAACAGGTAATGGTAATGCTATGCTTCAATATCCAAGCCCACAAGCTCAGCCATCTCTGAGTGCTTCATCAGTTCAAGACGGATTTCCTCGCGGGCCTCCTGGTGTGCCTGGGCATGGTTTACAGTCTTATAGGATGATGGCTGATCCCAGTGACCAACCCTTGGAGTTCAATGACAGAAAAGCTCCTGATATGGCAGTACATGAGACAATAAATATCAGATCTAGTGCTCCAACAGCAGTGTCTGAACATGGCACAACTCCAACATCAACTCAATCATGGGGCCCATCTGCTCCAGTTGGATATTTTCATCCAGCTCCAGTACCACCACAAGCATCACAGGTTTAGTAATCTGTTACAATTTCTTGCGTCATTGATACAGTGGTACTTATTTTTATTCTGTTACAGATGGATCCTTCTTTGCATGCTGGACCACTCTTTGGAGCACTCTCTGGTTCGAGCTATGTTCCACCTGCAGCATTTGGTGTTGGTAGTGTAAATGAAGCATTCCCTACAGACGCAAACACTCTTTTCAATGTTGCAGAACGGTCAAAGAAAGTAGGTTTTGTGGTTCCATTCATTTCACTTGTTTATCACCATATATCTGTTTAACTTTAACTGATTCTTGTGCTCGATTATGTATCAGCCTCCAGTACCTAACTGGCTTCGAGAAGAGCTTCTAAAGAAAAAATCCACTCCAGCGAGTGCTTCAGTGCAGCATTCGACAAATTATGATTCCATGGATTCTGAAGATGCTGCGGAACCACCAAAAAGAGCTGACCAAACTGATAGTAGAAGCATTGGTTCAGCAAAATCAATCGTAGCTGATGAAGCTGATGAGGTGCTCTTCTTTATTTTTAATCATTAGTGCAGTACATATTACGCTATTAATCTGCCCTAATGTGATTTACTTGCATGTGTCCCTAATGATTTATTTCAGTACGAGTAGTACCATGTCCAAGTTAACGGGTCTAAAGCTAAATAGTATTGTGGAGGGCTTTAAATGCATAATGATTTTTGGACAACTTTTGTAAATCAGAGTGAACTAACTAAATCAGCGGCTTTGAGAAACTAATTAATTTACCTACTTTTGTATATAGTTTTTTTTTCAATGTTTTATATGGTAATTTCTGAAGAACATTGATTTCATAATGGTGAGAGAAATGGCACAGCTATGTGTCAATCTTTTCCAGATTTGATTTGTCAGTGAAGCACTTGAGACTTGAGGTTGCTTGTCATACGGTATTACTGTACTGGCAAATCTCCTAAGTTCCTGTAATCAGTTTTCCGGAGCAGCATCTTTTTTCCTCTGTACACATGTTCGCTTCTTTTGGATCTGGTCGAAACATCGGATGCTAGTTACTGAAAAGTTGATCCTTTTTGTTCCTGTTCATATTTGACTTGGATATTAACATGACCCTCATTTCAAATCGATGTACTGGACTTGAATCGTTTGCAGGATGAAGTTGAAGAGGCACGGACGGCAGCAATCAACAAGGAAATTAAACGTGTCTTGACAGAAGTTCTTCTAAAGGTTTGTTCACAGAAGTTTTCCTAAGAAATACAGCAAGACTGCCATTTCTTACTTTTGTCCTTTTTTTCCAGGTTACTGATGATCTTTTTAACGAGATCGCAACCAAAGTTATGAATGAAGATGATTCATCAGCTGAACGTGAGTGAATTAAACTTAAAACTTAATGTAAATAGGACGTTGCTGATTATCGCCTCTGTGTTGCAGCAAATGAGACCACTGGTGTCTCTAGCTCAAAGGACCTTGGTCTGGGAGAATCAGAAGTCAGGACCACAGCTAAAGTTGTAGTCCCTGCTAAGCCAAACAATGTTAGCTCTACTGGTCGTTCTGATGGTAATGGGCTAAGTTCTCCTAAAGGTGCTCTTCTTGGTCTTGCTAGTTATGATTCAGATGACGAGGATGATGAGGGTGACGGTGATGGTAAGGATTTAATTTCAAATTTATCATCCGAAATTAAAGTTGATGCAGCTCAGCCTGAAGAAAGTAAGTTCTTGAAAAACACAAAGCAGACATGGTTTCCCTGAATTTATTTTCTAAAGAAGGAAGAGCTTATTATTAACTTTGATACATAATCACCATGTAGGTGAGAACGTTGATGGTGAACTGCACAATAATAGTAATGGCAGTATTGCTTCGGTCCAAAGTGTTTCATCCGGAGATGATCATAAATCCAGTGACAAAAGATCTCAGAGTAGGCCAACTGCAGAATCTGAACGAGAGCCAAGTATTCATGACACACAGAATGGAGAAGCCAAAACTTCTATTCAGCCAATTGGCGTGATTCATAAAACAAATGAGAAGACACATGGACATGCAGAGGTGGATTTCCAAAATGGAAAAACCTCTTCCGGCCATCATACTGAAAATAATAATAATAGTAACGCGGAGAGCACTCACAGGCATTTTGAAAGGAACAATCATGAGAAAGATCTTAAAGAGGTGAAGGTTGTCAATGGAAAAGACTCTGAGCCTTCTAGAACTGACAGGTTTAGAGATGGTGACAAGCATAGCATGCCTGAAAATATTGATAAAAAAGGCACCTACAAAGAGGAAAAGGGTTCTAGCAGGTATGCAAAACATGGGTTGGATAGATGGGATGATGCCAAAAGAGATCGAAAGGACCTTCCAAAGGATGCAAGAGAGAGAAAGAGGGATTCTGCTGATAGAAGAGACATAGGAAAAGATGGGAATGACGATAGATCAAGGCAAATTACTAAGAGCTCAGCTAGCCACAGCAGTAGAAGGTCACGGTCACGGTCACCAAGTGGGAGAAGCCGTACTAGGAATGAGAGTTCTTCACGTGTCCGAGGGAGTGTTTCAAGCGACGAGCCTTCTGATAATGCAAAAAGGAGGTAGTGTTATTCTTACATTTTGATGTTTAGCCTATCTCAGTTTATGAGTTGCCCTTTCTCTTGTGTACTGATTACTCCATTACTCCATTTTCTACTGCAGAAAGAGTCATTCTCGTAAAAACAGCATGTCTCCCTCACCTCCAAAATCTAGGAGCAGGTATATCAATATTCCTCCCTTCTCTGTAATATATATTAATAGTGGGAAATTTTTGCTAGTTAGCTCCAACATGTTCACATAACTATCGTAAGGTTGAGATTGATAGTTTTGCTCATCATGAATGCTCAGAATCATGCTATAGACATCAATCTCATTTCTCACCATGAAGGGTAGGGCATTTATGTTAAGGTGGCTCTGAAACATCAGTGGTATTTTGATGTTATGTTTTGTAGAACTGTGTTGCACTACATCTCTTCATAATAATTCTCTTTGCAAGCAAATGCCTCAAAGCTAAATAATGTTGGAACTGTTTTATTATATTATTTGTCAATTTGATATGAATAAGCACTGAGCAGGACACCTCTGAGTGAAGCAACATCAGGTTCATATATCGCTTATCCTTAAACTTACCCATTTAGTATTATGTTTCATCTCTAGACGAGTTTCGCGGTCTCCACATAGCAAGCATTCTCACCGCAGGCATTCACCTTATTCATCTGCTGAAAGGTAAGCGCTTAATTGGTTCTTTATTTTTCAATACATTGTTCCAGGTGATATTTTGGTGTGAATTTTCAGCAATTTATAAATTCAAGTTGTTATCTATTCAAACTTGCTGTAGCTGATTTCTGGGAAGTGGGTTAGTACAACAGGGCCAAAAAAAGAGGAGATATCAAGGATTTTCAGGATAAAAAGGGTGAACCTTTAGGTGTTATGAAAATTTGTGTTTTGGATTTTGTAAGAACCTTGATTAGATCGTAAATTTGCATAGTTTGCCATAATGTCTTGTGTTGTGTCAACTTACGAATTTTGAAAATAATTTCACCTGGAACTTCTTTGAATTGTAACTTGAGAAAGTAGAACAAGCATTCAAGCCTCCATTGAGGTTATCAAGTCCATAACTTAGTGAATTGTATTTTGTCGTGGAGTGCAATGGCAGGGTCGGCATTCCATCCGTGCTTCATCCTAGATCTTTTCAGGAATGCGGACCCGTGTTAATCTGGAGCCCTGTGTGTGCTACATCACCTGCACTGTAATCACACTCCATTTGTTAAACTATTTCTAATCATCGCAGGAAGAAGCGGTCCAGATCTAGAACTCCGGTCAAGAGGAGGTAGAAGAAACTAGGTGGTTTTGTTTGTTTCAACTAGGGATGCTTGCCCTTTGTCCTTCCGATGGAGGAACAGCATTTGCACGCCCACGAAACAATGATGCTGGATCTGGCTTCCAACAAAGAAGACGACTCACGTGACGGATGTTGTTCGAAGGATGATGCATGGTGCCCAGCGGAAGATATGTCCGGTTTGCCAATATTATTAGGATATGTAATGTTTTGTACAAGCAGCGGACTTCATAACTTGTAGCTCTAGCGTCCCTTTTAACCATTTTATTACCTGTATTTTGTCTCTGAGGTCATGTAGTACTAGTGTGCAAGGAGACTGGCCGAGTTTCGTTGGGACATGCTGCGATGTAATTTTGTATTGTTATATATGCTCATCGCCAATCTCTGAGTCATAATTAGGCCGGGAAAATGTGTTGCAGGCCTCCACATGTAATTTGTATTGTCGTATGGACACGCTAAAATGTGTTGTGGTGGCCTCGAATGGACGAGGAAAAGGCAGATTGGTTGCACCATGATGTCGTGAATATTTCTACTGAATTACGTTTTGTCCTTAATTACTGGGTGGGTCAGTCAGTAGTTGGATGGTAGAGGAATGATGCTGATGTGCAACGTGCTGATTGAATGCTACGTGTATTTCAGTATCCGAGCACACAAGCCCAGACATCTCCAACTGCCTCATCACTGATACTTCAGCATGACCACTGCTTGGAGTAGCCTCTCTCTGCAGCACCAGCATCCGAACACATGGTTCTACCAAAGTAGTCATCAGGACAGTCACCAGTCAAATTTTCCTGCCACAGAAATCAGTACTACAGACGTGAACTTTCCTACAGATATACTGTAGATACAAATGGATAATCACCTGTTTGCTGTAATTCAGTAATTTACAGCAACCAGGGATACCGCCTGGCCCTCAGCCGGCCGACGAGCTCCCCGCAGTCCACCTCCCTGAGGCGCAGCAGCAGGTGCAGCACGACGCCCGCGATGAACCCCAGCGCGGCGCTGGAGCCGGTGAGCGACACGCCGGCGCAGACCAGCATCACGAACGACTCCTCCTTGCTCCCCATGTCGCGCGACGCCATGGCCAGCTCCACGCCCGAGAAGAGCAGCATCACGCCCAGGATGCCGATGGGGAACTTCCCCAGGATCGTCACGAACGAGTTGCCGAACACCAGCCCGAGCGCCAGCTTGCCGATGGCCAGGAACACCACGGACGCCCCGCTCCGGCCGCCGAACCGGTACTGCCCGGCCAGCCCCCCCGCGCCGTGGCAGCACGGCATGGCGCCGAACCAGCACCCGATCAGGTTCATGAGCCCCACGCTGACGGACACCCTCGCCGGCGACAGCTCCGCCTGCTCCGGGAACAGGTCGGACGACAGCTTGCACACGGCGATCACCGAGTTGAGCACCGACAGCGGGAGCTGCGGCACGGCCGCCTGCCAGAACCCGATCTTGAAATCTTCCCATGTTATCTTCACCAGCCCCAGCGGCGCCGGCCCGAAGCGGAGGCCGCGGAAGATGGAGGGGTCACGCACGAAGCAGAGCACCAGGCCGACCGCGAACACGATCAGCGCCGCCGGGACGCGGCCGCAGGAGCGACGGCGCGCGGTGGCGCGGCCGTCGGCTGCGTTGATGGCGTCGTCGTCGTCCCCGGAGCCGGTGGTGAGGAGGATGAACAGCAGCGCGGCGAGCGCGAGCAGCAGGCCGTCGAGGCCCAGCAGGGGGCGCTCCACGGAGGTGGAGGCGGAGGAGGAGCGGGAGAAGTCCTGGTCGTAGCGGATGTACTTGACGGCGGTGAAGGCGAAGGAGAGGCCCTGGGAGAGCTGCACGCCGCGGACGACGGGGAGCGGGAGCACGCGGTAGAGGCGGGTCATGAGCCCCGTGGCGCCGAGGAAGAGGAGGATGGCGGCGACGGCGATGCCGGCGCCCATGATCTGCGGGACGGTGAGGTGCGCGGAGGAGAGCGCGACGGCGGCGATGGACTTCATGGGCTGCACGGGCATGGGGATCCCGAAGAGGACGCCGCTGGCGAAGTTGTAGAGCGCGGTGAAGATGAGCGTGGTGCCCAGGTCGAGGTGGGAGGCCAGCGACAGCGCCAGCACGATGGGGATGTAGGTGCCCAGGTCCCCCACGGCGCCGCCCAGCTCCGACCAGACGGACGTCTTGAGCCGGATGGACGGCGGCAGGAACCGCCGCCGGTGCGGCGGCTCGCCCGGGAGCAGCGGGTCGCTGGCGGAGGATGCCATGGCCGGCTGCACCTGCACGACTGCTGCAGAGTACTATTACTGTGGGTGTGGGCTGAGTATAGAAATGGGTAGGTGGCGTGCGAGATTTGCAGTGATTATAGATGGCGATGCGTCCGATTGTTGCTTAGCGCGATGGCGACGTGCGTGGTGTATATATACTCAGTGAACGCTTCCTATTTTCTAAACGCAACTTTGTCAGATATTGGGAGGACACGTTGTGTTTCGAGGCATTGGATTTTTTTCGCCTGAATGGATCTTTACCAAGTTGTTTCTAGATGTTCTAGTCTACATCCACACTTTTCGGCCACAATAAGTTTGCTCCGTTGAGATGGAGTTTTAGAGGAGACAACGAGCTTTATTCACGGCATGTCGCGGATCGATGCAACAGGAGCAAGACTTCCACACTTCCAATAATTTAAATGTAGTTTTAGTTTTGTAAATGTTCTTTAAGTTTAAGGATACATACTACTCTATTTGTCCTATAATATAAGAGCGTCTTTGACACTACATTATTAGTGTCAAAACAATTACATACTTATCGAAAAAATACTAGCTAATATATACTCCCATCTAGAATTATTTATCGAAGAAATGAATATATCTAAAGGGTATGCTGGTTTGACTTTTGGGGCGATGTAGGGACGAAACAAACTCAGATTCTCTAGGTGAATTGTTAAAGAAATATCGGAAATATTCAGGCGAGAACATGCATGAACGAAAATAGACAGCCTACATGCTGGTGCTCCCGGGATCGATATGAGAATATCGTTTCGTTGCACGTATACGCAATGACTTTTGAAGTTGCGTGGCGAACTGCACATCCAAGGATAGCGACGCTGCGTCGACGTGGACGTCAGGACAGGGTCAAGTGTCTGTTGGGAGTGACCAGGGGACTGCGTGACACTTGTTTGTTGGGCGACAGGATTGTTTGCGTCGGCATCGATCTGGGATTCCTTCCTGCAAAAGTAACAGAAATTGGCACTGTACACACACACGGGCAACATTTCTTTTCTTAAAAAAAACTTCCGATCCATTCATACAAAGAACACAAAAATTACATCCGTGTCCACAGACCACCTAATGACGACTACAAGCACTGGAGCAATCCAAAGCGTGCTACCATCTTCACCGGAGCCGATCAAACTTGTTGTAGTAGACAGTCAGAAATCATTTGTACTAAGGTCTCGTAGGAACAGCGCATCAGAACACAAATCATCGCCAACGAAAAGAAGTATAGATCAAAAGAATCCAACCTTTCCACGCACGAACGAAGACGAACAAAAACTAGATCCAAAACAAATCCACTTGTTTGATCTCACGTGTGACACTATCTAAGATATTTGTCCCTCGAAGGAAAACAAATCTATGATATTTGTGACAGCATTTGAAGTTGATTCTCAGTGTGTCACACGCACGTATGTACGTGCAAGGGAACGTATCTGGTGCATCAAGGCAATTGGTGCTACCGGTGCACCGGACCCTGTTGCACATTAAAAATATTGAAAAAAAATAGCAAAAAATTTAGTGTATCGACACAACATCAATGTATGTTGTCGCAAAAATTTAAATGAAAATTCAAAACAATGCTCAAGATACAAAAATGACAAATTTGACCTCGATGTGCTAATGGGCCAAAAATGAAGCCCAACTTGTGTTATGTACTATTCAGTGTCAAATTTGTTATTTTTGTATCTCAAGCAATGTTTCAATATTGATTTAAATTTTTGTGACAACGTACATAGATGTTGTGTCAATGCACTAGATTTTTTTCTGAATTTTTTCGAACATTTTTGAATGTGCAACGGGCGACCGGTGCACCGATAGCACAAATTGCCCCGGTGCACCAGATACATTCCCGTACGTGCAAAGCAGCGTCGAGCCGGCAAAGCTCGAGCCCATGTGCCAAACTCTAAAATGGGTATATCTCATTAAAAAATAAAATTATATTAAATACAACTATAATAATATGTACTCCCTCCGTCTCATAATGTAAGACATTTTTTAACACTACACTAGTGTTAAAAAAGTCTTACATTATGAGACGGAGGGAGTAGATAATAATATCTTGCATATTAAAATAAAAGAAATGACATAAATAGAACTAAAATAATATATACTCCCTCCGTCTCATAATGTAAGACGTTTTTCCACACTAGAGTAGTGTCAAAAAACGTCTTACATTATGGGACGGAGGGAGTAGATAATAATACCTCTCCTTACATATAGCAATGTAATATATGTAAAGTATATAACTATAATAATACCTATTCAACATGTGGTTGCATAGTCTTTCTCTTTTTTTTCGCGAATATGCAAAATTTGTGTATCTTTTTATTGATTTATAATGATAGAAGAACAATAATTAATATAAGGGTCTGTCTAGATCTCAGTCGACTGAGAGTCTCAGCTGGGTCAGTCAGCTGACGCCACCTGTTTACTTTTTTTTGTTTATGTCCAGCCCCCGTCGTGGCCTCTTGTGGCTTTCTGGGCTGGCGGCTGGCGCTGCTTTTGTCTTTGCTTTGTGCGTTTTCTATGTAGTGCCGGGTCAGATATTTTGGGCAGTTTTTCTGTTTGGTGCTGCTGCTCGTTGATTATGTAAGCTTTAGCTATTGTTCGAGCATTTTTACCGAAACTTTTAGCTATTGTTCGAATATATATATATATATATATATATATATATATATATATATATTTTGCGGAATATTGTTCGAATATATTAGCTGTGTGGTGCACCGGCCAGCTATATTAGTTGGTGTTCCTACAATTTTCTTAACATGCTATTTCTTTCGTTTTGTCCGGATTTCTTTTTCATTTTCATATACATTTTCATATTTTGTTTCTAAAAATTGTAAGCATTAGTCAATATTTTTTTATAAAATGTGTTCGTGCATTTTCATAAATACTAATCGTGTATTTGAAAAATATCTAGCATGCAATTAGGAAATGTTCAATATTATTTACAAATAATCATCGTGCTATTAGAAAAATGTTCAACGTTAATTATCGCTGTTTTTAGCTTGCATTTTCTTTATCGCATTGGGTTGAGTTGGCCATTGTTTTACTCGTTTGTTTGTAATTTCTCTATCATCCACAAATTAAAAAATGGTACTAACAAAAATAGGAGATCTCATCATATGCTGTTTCACATGCAATGCGGACGTGCAACTAGGTTGGTGTGGCGTGTTTTAAAAAAAATCCAAATGTCTCTTTTCAAAGAAAAACCACAAAAACATAATAAATTAATTTAATAATAGGATGTGGATATGGCTTGGTCGATTGAGACTTAAAAATAAGTCTCAGTCAGCTGGCATCATGGCGGCATGCAGTTGTAGTATGAGGCGACACTTTCAATTGCAGGTCTAGTGGCAGGCATGCAATTGTCCATCTCCCGACAAAATACCACGGAGTTGCAGTTGTGGGCGACACATGCAGTTGCATGCCAAGTGTCAGACATGCAACTTCTCCCTTCCCGATAAAACACCACAAAGTTGCAGTCACGTTGAAGATATGCAGTTGCAGTGTAGGGCAACACTTGCAATTGCATGCCTAGTGTCGGGCATGCAACTACCCCCTCCTCTTCCCGCCGCTCTCCAACAAAAACACAAAGGACAGTTATAGTTCGGAGGGAGGCGTGCAATTGCAGTTGAGGGCAACACATGGAGTTGCAAGCCTAGTGCGGACATACAACTGCCCCCTCTCGCGTCGCCCATCGACTAAACAAAAGGTTGGTTGCAGTTGGGTGTGTGAACATGCGGTTGCAGTCGAGGGAAACATTTGAGTTGCAAGACTAGTGTCTGGCATGCAACCGCCCCTCTCTCCCTCCGCCCTCAAATAAAAACACAAGGCCAATTGCACTCAGGACTGAGGCATGAATTGCATTTGAGGGCGATACTTGCAGGTACAGCCATGTTGGGAGACATGAAGTTGCAGTCGGGTGACACTTGCAGTTGCATGCCTAGTGTTGGACATGCAATTGCCGACCTCTCTCGCCGCTTATTTGCAAAAAAGGGCCAGTTGCACTCGAGGGCGACACTTGCAGTTGCAAGCCTAGTGCCGGACATCTAACTACCCCTCTCCCGCTGCCCACCATAATAAAAGGTTTGTTGCGGTCGGGGTGTATGGACATGCAATTGCACTCGAGGGCGACACTTGAAGTTGCAAGGCTATTGTCGGCCAGCATGCAACTACCCCCTTCTCCCACCGCCCTCCGACAAAAACACTAGGCTAGTTGCAGTCGAGAGGGAGACATTCATCCAGGGGAGAGACTTGTAGTTGCATGCCTAGTATTGGACATGCAACTCGCCCTCCACTCCAACCGCCCACTTACAAAACAAAGGTCAATTGCATTTGGGATGTGTGGGCATGCAGTTTCAGTTGGGGGCACCACTTGCAGTTGCATGCCTAGTGTTACCCCCGCCTCTCCCCACCGCCCACTAACACTTACAGTTGCAAGCCCAGAGTTGGCGCTGCAACTACTGCCTTCTCCTGATAAAAAAAGAAAAAAAAGGAAATACACGCAAAAGCCAGTCCTTCACCAGTTGCATGTGGAGTAAGTTGTGTGTGGTTGTGCATGGATAAACGAACATGCTACATACAATCAATATTTCCTTCGAGGCTAAAAATAAAGAATAGATAAAAAACATAGTTACGCACGGATTCAATGTGTGCGGTCACATGTGGATGGATGTACATGTGGCTCATAGTATGATTTTAAAAATGACAAAAATAAATGTGAAAAATTAAGAATTAATAAAAGCCAAAAAATGAAAACACACACAAACATACTTCAAAGAAAGAATTATGAGAGAAAAGAGAACAAGAAAAGAATAAAAACAATGGAAATAAGTAATAATTTTAAAAGAAGCAACAAAAATAAAATTCAAAAGAAAGACTATAAATCCAAAAATGAATTGGCTCAAGCCATTTTGAAAAAAATGTACACAATGTTGCGACCGGAAAAAGTAAATGCAACACAAATTTGCACGATTCGTGGCACATAG